GTCTGGTTAACAGAGTGACCATATCTTCCAGTACCACCTAGATACTGTCTGGGGAAGCTATAATTGTAATGTTTCTATGTTTTATCATACCTTTTAGCTGAGGCCAAAGCTTTCACAGAAAGTAGATGGATAATGTCAATTTGTAGATCAAGGAAAGTAGAGGAAAAACCTCTTTCTGGCATCTCAGAAAATTTCCCCCTACACTAAAATTACTGGACACTGATAAAATGACCCAGCCAAATTGTCTGTGTATTGAGGAAAAAGGAGGGAAATCAGATAAAATATTGAGTGTACTATTTAAATGTACAAGTGATAAAATTGTTCCTAAATTTAAACTAAAGGAGAGAAGCCATTCTATAAATAATTTTCTTTACTTTCCTTCTCAAGTTCTATAGGCTTGGAAATATCTTTATAACTTTGTTTAAAAGAAGTGTTAACCAGGCCTCCCTGGTGGCACAAGGGGTTAAGCACTGCACTATGAAGCAATCTGCAGCCTCTGCAGCATGAGTTCGATCCCTGGCCAACCAGGGAGCAACCCGCATGCAGCAGACCTCTTCTGACTCACCCACTGCTCCCCTCAGCAGTGTATTTCAGTCAGTCTGCCTGTCCTGTTCCCCATTCTGTCTTTGGTGAATCCTCTCAGCCCCCACATTTCTGGCCTGTACCCCAGCTGTTGTATGCATAAATAAATAAATAAATCTTTAAAAAAAAGACAAAGAAAAAAAGATGTGCTAACCTATCGGCTCCCTGTGACACTGATTAATTGCTTTTCACAGCATTGGTAAAATTGTCAATTCCATTACTTTCTTATTCATGCCAGGTCCAGCATTTTCTAAACTCTTTTGTGTAGCCTTTGAACCTAGAGAAAAATGAAGTAAAATAAAAGGGGAGATATTTTCCTGTAAGTCTTTTAAATTATTGTTTTAACTAATAAAATAGAAGACTAGTCCAGCCATTGTGTTATAGACATGGTATATTTTGTTAATACCAATTCTTCTATCAATTCTGCTCCATTATTACTTCTTCAGTTTCCTTTTTCTGCTTTGCTCGGCAGAATATATTCAAATTTGTAATCAAAGCTTCATGCAATCATCCTTCATAGCATGTATTGTAGTTATTTCACATTAAATTGAATAATTTACTCTGTTTTACCCAGTGAATATAGATTCATGGAGGGTAGAGACAATCCATGATTGTTTGAATACAACACAGCCTGGACCTGGCATTAAATAAGAACATAAAACACATTTGCTTAAAGGGGGGCTAAATCTGGTTATTTCTGTATAGGTTGTTACTGCCTTAGTTCTCCATACCTAAGAGCTAGAAAATAATTTTCCTATCTATTAGTTTATATTCCTGATAGCTTTACCTTGGACTGTTTCCTAATGATACTGCTGTTTCTATCATTTCTTCAAAACATACGCAAAACACTCCCTTCCATTACTTTTGATTTGAATTGATTTCCTTTCGATCTGTTTTTCTCAGTGTGAGAGTTGTTGATTCTGCTTCAGAGTTTATAAGTTCATAAATACTAGGAATTTTAAAGACTTTTACTTATTTATATGCACATAAATATTTATTATGAAAACACCAATATTTAGTCTTTTCCTTGCACAGAGGGCTAAAAGCAATTTTACTTTTTCTTGGATGAGTAGATATTTTCAGTGTGTTTAAAAAAACAGGCATCCTTTTTACTATTTAAGGATACAGTCTCACCAGAGGTAAGTTGTGTCAAAATAGAGAAGAATTTTAAAGATACCCATGTCTGCTCTCCTTTCTTAACCCTTCACAAATACCCATACCTCCAAGGTCACCCTGGTCCTAGTGTGTGTCAGCAAAGCATATTAAGAGTTTTCCAAATGTAAGGACAGGCATCCTTCTTATGGCCCTGCCTCTCCTCTCCCAGTGCTCTTTTTTTTTGGCAGTCAATGCTTCTGAATTGATACAAGCAAAGTCAGGGTTATGTTCAGTATGGGAGGAAACAGTTTTTCTTAACCCTCTTAGGGTACTAGGTTGGGTTTGAAAATTAAACTAAAAGACAAATTACTAATTCATTTAATATAACTTGCACAACATGGAAGCCATATTAAGGAAATGAAGACCAAAAAAACAGAACTGAGTATTTTTAATGTTAGGTGGAAGAGTACAGTATATAGTCAGAGAAATATGACAGGTTAAGGAGTAAGTGTAGTATGTGTCGGGAAGTTACCAAGGTCTATTCCTTTCTGTGTCCCTTTGACTTTGGAATAAGAATTTTCTTTCCTCCAGTCTAGGAGGGTTTTATGACTTATATTAGAGGTGGGGGGGAATGTTAGAGTGACCTTCTTGCGTTTCCTCAAACTCCTTCGGTTTAAATGTTCAATATACCAGTGTGCCATATTTTGGGGTAATATTTCCCGAACTCATTAGTTCTCATGGCCATCTCTGAATAGTTTTGCTTTTACCTTAAGTTAGTTTTTCCTAAATGGTCTTGATTATTTTCTGGTGGCCATAAATACTTCTTAGTACAATGGCTTAATTTAAAACATATGTAGAAGGATGAATGTTCAGCTGATTTCTAAAATCCATCGTTACTTTCTGTTCCTGAAGGTATAACAGCCATTCTTCAACCTAGCATTTAGAATTGCAAGAATATAATGGGACACTATTAATAGATTGGTTCGTTGGGGAAGAATGAGAAATAGGGGTCTACAATGAATCACTAGAGACTCTGTGTGCTATTCATAAAGTAAAGGAACTCATACTTTACAAAATTCATTGGAGGACTGAAATTGGTAAAGGCACAGTGAGATATATTAGAGATTTTTTGTTTGTGTTTTAGAAAAGACTGCAAAACAATCCTGGGTTTAGAGATAGTAAAGGTTTTCATTTTATACTTTTTAAGGAATATATAATACTTGATCCATTTTTCAGTAAAGTAGGACTTTTCACAGATTTGAGAATTATGATAAAATGGTTAACTTTAAGCTATGTGTATTTTAAGTTCATACTTCCATATTGCTAAGTGCATTGACATTATTGTTCAACCAATCTCCAGCAGTCTTCTCATCTTCCAAATCTAAAACACTATTCTCATTAATAACAATTGCCCACTTCTTCCTTTACCCAACCCCTGACCACTGTCATTCTGCTTTCTGCCCCTATGAATTTGACTACTATCTGTGCCTCATAGAAGTGGAATTATATAATGCTGTATAATCATACAAATTGTTATGTAATCAAAGTGGAATCCATATATAAGTAAAATCAAACATATAGTTTTGTGACTGGCTCATTTCTCCTAGTATAATGTCCTCTGGACCCATCCATATTACAGCATATATCAGAATTTCTTTCCTATTTTAGTTTGAATATTATCCCATTGTATATATAAACTTCACCTGTGCATCCATATATCTGTCAGTGGGCACTTGAGTTGCTTCCATATTTAGTTTCTGAGAATAATGCTGATATGAACAAAGCTTTACAAATCTTTCCAATATTCTGTTTTCAATTTTGTATATATTCAGAAGTGGGATTATTAGATCTAATGGTTATTTTTTTTTTTCCCTGAGGAACTGCTGTATCATTTTCCACAGCAGTGGAAAATGCTTTTAGTCATCTTATACCAGGGCAGACAGGTATATTCTTAATTGGAACACAGGTTCCAATTTTCCCAAATTCTGATTAAAGAATAAAAGGCTGAATAGTTGTGGGTGCTACTGAGAGTTTTCATATGATTGAGCCTGTTATGTGTGAAAGGAAAGAAGGAAATTTGGGGGGAAGAGGAGTGTTTTGGAAAATATAAAAACTACTAAGGTCAAAAGTCTTTGCTATTGAGGACAGTGAGGTAAAATAATTGGCCTCACACCACATAACTAGTAAGTGATGGAGTCAGGCATCCTTTTGTGTCCAAAGTAAATGACTTGGAAGGAGTAATTTTGAAATAAGAAGAAATAGTCACTTTGTCATTCCACTGCCATTCAGTATTGAATATGGTGTCAGAAGAGTTGAGGGTTTGGGTCAGCTTGGGTCATTAATGTGCTATGGGAGGGTGAGTCTTCCCTTCAGTCTCTAATTGTCTGACTAAATTCTATGGAGTTTCTTCTGCTATCACCATCCAGTGACCCTATTTCAGCTATTTTATATTTCTTTGTACCTAGGGTAAATGCCATGTCAACAAGTCGTACATGAACCAACAGTCATTTAAAAAAAAAAAAAGGTTGCAAAAGGACATGTGCCAATATTTCTAATTCCTACCTCACTTTAAAGGTCAATACAGTTATTTTTACTACAATATAATTCATATTTGAGGGAGGAAATATACCCAGATCCACATTGCTATGAGTCAATAAACATCAAACTGTTAATTAGTCTATCTCCAACAGATGTAATTCATTTCAAAAAAGAAAAAAAGTAAATTTTTAAATTGTTTAGTAACATTTTCCATTCAAGATGAGTCTTAACATCTTTAACATTTTTGTTCAAATGAATTCATTCATAATTTTAATAGTCAAGCATTAAATGCATATACTTATAAACACTGTATTGAATTCTGGGTAAAATGAAAATCAGGAAAGCCAAGATTCAGAGAGGTAAAATAATTTTCCTATTGCCACATAACTAATAAGTGATTGAGCAAGAATTTGAGCAAGAAGTTGTATTCCTGCTTATTATATTTCATTCTGAACTCTTGTGCATAAGAACTTATGCATACATCCATTACACGAAGCACCTTTCCTTCAAACAGCTTAATTTCAAGTTCAATCTATAAACAGATATGGAAATAAATGTGCATTCTTTTGTGATGGTATTATCACAAGGTTACAAAAGACAATTTTTTTAACTCATCTTGGAAAGGTCAAAAATGGCATGATCATGAAACTGATGTTTCATCTCAGTCTTGATATGTGATTACTGTTTTTAAAGCCAACAAGAAAGATAATTCCAGCTAAAGTCAGAGCAGGTACAGAGGTAATGGCAGAAAGACTAGCAAAACACACAAAGTATATACATGTTACCTGATATGGTTTGAGCCAAGAGTCCAGGGACACAGTGAGAGGTGGTTCTAGAAGGGTGAATGGGTATGGATCACAGCAGCAGCATGCAAAAGTCTGTATTCTGTATCCAAATGTCAGTTCATGATGAAATGTGCACCATTCTGCTAGTAAATAGAAAAAAGGGACTGTGTAGGTTATTTTTTCACATTTACCCTGATGAAATACTATCTTCTGTTTTGATGTTAGTTCTATCCTCCTTGTTTGATAATTTGGTTTGGGCATATGAATTTCTCTTTTAAATGAACTGGTGTTAACAGTTTGAACCTCTCCTTCCCTCCCCACCCTTCTGCGTTACTTTCTTTGCTCCCTGCTTTTAGTTTCTAGTTGAATGGAAAGACTGTATTGAGCAGTCTCACCTCACAGACATAACTGAAATTGATTTTTTTATTATTTATTTATTTATTTTTATTATTTAAATTTTATTTTTATATTCCCAATACAATTACAACCCCCTTATTTTCACCCCAATTCCTCCTTTCCCCACCCCCATCCCCCATAGAGTGTCTCTGGTTCATAGTTGTTTGTTGATTTTGATTTTTTCTTTCTTATAGTTATTCTTTTTCCTGGTTCCTTACTTAAGTTTTCTAGATTCCTGCTATGACCATCTGGTATTTTTCTTTTTCTTTCTGGCTTATTTCGCTGAGCATGATCCCTTCCAGCTCCATCCATGTTGCTGCAAATGGCATGTGTTTATCTTTTTTGAATGCTGAGTAATATTCCATGGTGTGTATGTACCACATCTTTTTGATCCAGTCATCTATTTTTGGGCATGTGGGTTGTTTCCAAAGCTTAGCTATTGTAAATAGTGCTGCTATAAACATAGGGGTGCAGGTGCTCTTTGGAATTGATGTTTCTGTGTCCCTTGGATAAATACCTAGGAGAGGAATTCCTGGATCATATGGAAGCCGGAGGTCAAGAAATCTCCACACAGCACTCCATAGTGGTTGGACCAGTTTGCACACTCCCACCCATCATGAGCAGACATGAGAAAAGAAGAAATTTAATATTGCTAATTAATAGTATCTCTACATCTTCCAAGAAATAGTCACTCTGTCCTTTGACTTTTAACTATTAAATTCTAGCTTAAGACTAATACATTTTGTGTAAATATTTAACCAAGACTAGGTGTTATTATTTGTTACTCTCTAGTTCAGATTCCCATCCTCAGGAATCTGGGCCTTGATTTCACAGATCTAGAATAAAAAACATGCCAAAGGAAAGGAATGATAATTCACTTTTCTCTCCCTCTGTCCTTGTTCCAACAACTTTTCGCACTGCAGAAGTTGCATGTATCTACTTAGATAATAAGGAAAAGACCTATGGACACAGGTTTAATATCTGCTTACATTTGTAGGTCATTTTGACTTCTCTGGTGGCTGTGGGAATTAGTGACCACCAGTAGGGTCCTCTTTGCTTCACTATGAGCTAAAATATCTATGCTATTTTAGCTTTTCAGTTCCCAAATTGTCTGAAATAATGACAACACTGGACATCCCACAGGGAAGTCCCACTTCTTTCCTTTTCTCATCAAGTGTTTTCTGTATTTCTCCCGGGCATCTTGGTTCTCTCGGATAGTCTGAGTGGCCACCTAGAAACTGCAATTTCTTCCCAAACATTGCCTAGATCAAAGGAAAGCCTAGGAAATTCAGACATGACCCTCTTGGATCTGTGGAAATGAGTATTGGAGTTCTCTCAACATATTCTCTCTCTGTCCTTTCCCTAAAGTTCATCCCCAATAAATCAGAGACCATGAGGATGATGTCATCATCTAGAAGATGGTAAATTACTTTTACAAATGCAATCATATTTTACAAGCATAGATAGAAAGCCACTCTACCTCTGAATATATCTAAGTCACATGAGATGGGGAGGGGGACGGAGTACATGGTGATCTGCTCACCAATTTTTGGTGTGCCAAGAAAACAATATTCTGTTTTCCTTTAGTCTACCTTAAAATACTCTGGATGCTAGTAATAGCTAGCTGGTCCTTCAAATTTGATGCAAAGTATGACTGACTAACACCAGGAATCAAAATCCCATGCTAAAATAAAAACAACTGAATTAATCAGAACCCATTCAGTTCTTACAGAACGACACATACACTAGTTGAAACAATGAAACTCACAGAATGAATCAATAGCTCCTGTAACTGGAAAGCCAATTCAGCTGGCTTTATACATAACAGTATCATTAGAATTGTTGTCTTTTTCTTACCTTTCTATTAACTTTATGCTTAGATGTGCACTTCACAAATTTAGCTACTCCTGCCAAGACACACTACTATTTCTAAATAGTGCTATCAAAATTCCCAGAAAGGGGTGTTTTTAACTTCTATAGGTCATATAATGGCACAATCAAAAATTTGAATAGAAAGAAATGTTTCCTGAATCGCCAGGCCTGGGTAGCTGCTTACCCTTGAAGTCAACATTAAGGTCAATCCCATCTAATATATCAGGCTAAGATATATAGAAGGGTACATGTCCCAAAGAAAAATGTTTTTTTTTCCCCCTAAGGGGGGAAAGGCCTTCTGAACAAGCAAAAAATAATATATAATATATATCTATTGAAATGACTACAGACCCTCATCTCACCCCCAAATCAAAAAAAAAAAAAAAAAAAAAAATCATACCTATCCATGAAAAGAAAAACTCTAAATTTCTGTTTAGGCAACAGGGAATCAATCAATAGCATTAAAGGAGCAATAAAATCAGATTCTTAATGGAATCAGCTTTTAAAATTTTGCCTTTCTGCCTTCTTACAATTTCCTCATCCTTCTTGTCCTTTAATTAAAAAAAAAGTGGGCTTTGGATGCTATTCATAGAAACCTGCTTCCCTCTGGTAGCTAATTAGGCTAACCTCCCCTGAACTCCAAGCCATAGTTTTTGTGCAAAGAGCTTCTGAAGAGTTATCATTTCACCTGTGCCCAGGATGAGGTATCCATGGAAACTTGAACATCTAATGACAGGTGGTTGGCAGGCTCAGGCACCTAGAGGGCAATTTATTGCTAGGCTGCCTTGAGACCAACACTTGGGTCTGCCATCTCATTTAGATGATTTTGTTAATGGTAACTCCCCACCAAAATCTATCTTGAACTAACCCCCAGTATCATTCCGACAAACTCATTCAGAAAGTTAAATGCACAACAAACTCAACCAGATAAGTGGCAGTGAGGAGCAGAAATCTCCTATACAAATAAGTCAAGGACATGGAATAATCACTATATATAAAAATATACATGCATACATACACATTTTATGTGTATATATAAATAAAAAAATCAGGCTGGTAAGCACTTAGTGTATATATGCACATACATAAAAGAATAGTCTTTTCCCTTAGGCCAGGACTGGAAATCACTGATGTCAACACACTTTGTTCTTTCAGCGTCTTGCTTTCCCTAGCCCTCCTGTTTCACTTTTGTCCTCTCAGTATGTGAGGGTTGACCTTAGCAGAGAGCAGGCTGTCTTAAATATGGCAGGTCATCTATCAATTCCTCCCCAGGCTGTCGGAGTTCCTTTTAATCTCACTTGTAATTTTCCAGGGGAGGTTTACAAAAGCCACAACAGAATTTTAATGTTGTAAAATACCTACGGAGACAGTAAATATTTCCTTTTTCACGAGGACAGGCTGTATGTCAATGGTTTTCTGAGAGGATGAAGACATTTTCCAAGTTAAAGTTGATTGTACTTAAATTGTCCATGAATTGGGCCATTTGCATAAGTCTTTTGAAATGCTTTCCTTTATATGCAATTACAGTCCAGGCATATATGCACACATTTCTTGTGACTGAGTGCCTGATTCTTAGAAGATTTTTTTTTCTTCTGACACAAACAAAATATTAATTGCTTTCATAATTGCAAAATGTTCACCCCACTAATTTGCAAATGCATTCATTATACATTCCAAGAATCAGATCCAGAAACTAATGGCAAAATTAATGGATAGCCAAACTCCCATGGAGAGGAAAATATAGGCTCAGGGAAGCTAACTGATGAAGGATAGACCTACTGCCCCTAAATATTAAGGCAATAATAACTTATCAAGGAATCTAAATAAGTGGACTCTCAAATATCTCAGATCACTTTGCAAATAAACACTATACGCTAAATAAGCCTGCATCACAAATTAGTTTGGTAAGTGAGCTTTTGTTTTAATTATTTATGCTAATAGTCATAGCTCTCTTAGAGATGGCACATACTTAGTGAAATTAAGAAAGTTAATAGAAAGTCTTCCATAGCAATTTCTTTTACAAGTGAGCAGAGGAGGGGATGACATTACTGATGCTGTGACTTTGTATAGCCAGTTCATTGAACAAATACTTATGCTATGGTAAAATTTTGAGAATTCAAAATGAACTTGATAGTTTCTGCTTTCAAGAGGTACTATTTATAAGAAAACCAAGTGCATTTAGCCATAAGTTTCCTGGAAATATATATGGGGTAGGAAGTAAAGATAACACTTCACTTCAAAGACAGTGGCATTTAAACCTTTATGGGAAGTGACACACTCCCATAATGGATGTAGGCAGAGGGAATAATACATTTGGGAAGGTACAAGTAGTTTTAAATGTCTGAAGTGTGGTGTAGGGAGGATATGGAGTGGCTAGCAACTGGATGGATGTTGGCAATACTCCTGGAAATGAGACATTAAAAAAAAAAAAAAATCCATTCAGAATGGGAATTTGGGAAGGCCTGGAGAAAGGCAAGAATAACAATGATTTTTGAGGAGTTATTGAAAACTGGGGGTAGAAAATAGCAACCATCCTCTCCCTTGATTTTACAGATCAGGACCCTGGTGTCCAAATTAGTATGGTCGTTATGTTGCCATGCAGGGCAACAACTTACCCACTTCCTTTAATATAAATCTAATGTGTAAAAGTCACTTCTGTGTTCCATTGCTTTCCTTGTCCCTGGAGCATAATTGGATCCAGAGTACCTTCATATTTCTTTGACAATTTAGGGTTGCAGCTTCCTGTATTTTTGGTTGTTTTATTCAACAAATTAAAATGCAGTAGCCCAATCTGGCATATATCTTAGAAGGGGTTGGGTTCCAAAACCTTTAGTGTCTGATATAGTTAAGCAATTATGTATCCTCTGTGATTAAG